TATTTCTTTCAGCTTTTGTAATAAAAGTACAATTAGTAGTTGTTAATCCAAATAATATGATAATATGACATCACGATGTAAGATCTTAATATGAAAACACATTGGATTCAAAGAGTAGTTTTTATTGAAGGTCCCATGAAGTCATTAATATACCACATATTGGATCTAACAAGTAGGGCTTATTGAATGTCTCATTTGGAAAAAAAATTCTTTATTCAAAAGTGAGAGACCTGAAAAATTCAGTAGAATGGATTAAATGGAATAGAAATGGCATTTTGTTGAAATTGAAAAGTGAGTAAAATTCACTGGAGAAGATTGTTTCCTCAGAATAACCATTGTTTTATCTTGAAAGATAGTTACATAACTGTCTTTGTGTTGTTTCTTTGTGGCTGTTTCTTGCTTTTGAAATTTGTTGTACTCTTCATATGTCTAAATTTGAATGCTGTGACCTCCTTTCAACCCTCTCAGCCACCTTGAGACCACTAAAAATATTAACAAAGGTCAAATGGCTTTCAGACTGAATCCATTCAAGTTAGAGAATTTTTTTTCTGCTCTCTGTTGACCTTGAATTAAAGATGACTTGTGCTTATCCATTTATTTCTCATTTCCTGCAAATGCTTAGAATTGAAAAGAATGGACTTTTTTCTTCTTTTTTTTTTTAAAATTTTTAGTTGAAGATGGAGGAAAATGATTTTGTATCAAAAAATGAAGGACTACTTAGAAGAAAGGTATTTTTCCCCTTTTCCTCTCAGAATCTACCCCTTTCTCTGCAACCTACAATTTAGCAGAAATTAGAAAAGCACCATATCAGATATTGATTTTTAATAAGAAAATTGGGGAAAAGAAGGGCGGGGGTCAGGATTTTTTTTTTTTTAAAGGCTTTATTAGTTTTATTTTTTCCCCTAGTTATTGAGTTCTATGTATTTCTTTATAGTTTATCAGATACTCATAATTGTGTGTGTGTGTGTGTATATATATATATATATATATATATATATATATACACACACACACACACACACACACACACACACACACTGTAATTCCCCATATATAATATGCCTTCATCCATAATATGTACAACTAAAATTGTGCTGAAAGTGTGTGTGTGTGGGGGGGTTAATGCTTCTACTCATGTATAATACGCACCCTTTGGTAATCAAACCCTATAAACTGTACGTCTTCAATTTCATTACACCCGGCATTTCTTACTCTTATCTTATAAAACGGTTTTTAAAGATAGAATTATATTATTCTAATTTAGTTTTATGATAATTCTTATTTTATTTTACGGCAATTTTTTAAAGATTTTTTTTTGTAGCTGTGCATAATATCCACGTCTGATTTTGCTTATTTTTTTTTTTTTTAGAAAAAAAAAAAAATGCGTATTATACATGGGGAATTACAGTACATACATACATGATGGTCTGAAAGTCTTGTCACCTTCTACCAAAAATTAATACAGTAATACAAAGCACTTGTACTGGATTCAGTTTATTTAATTTCATTGACACTATCACATATCAAGAAGGTCTGTATAAACACCATCATTTTCGTGTAGAAGCTCGTCTCGGCCATCTGGAATAGAAAATTATATTATGTACGGGTGACAAGACTTTCGGACCACCCTACAGATTAAAATAGCCTTAGATAGATAGATAGTGGGTGGTGTGAAAGTCTTGTCACCTCCTACCAAAAAAAAAAAAAAAAAAAGAGATGAAACTAATAGAAGAACTAGTAATACAGTAATACAAAGCACATGTACTGGATTCAGTTTATTCACTTTCATTGATGCTGTGACACATCGAGAAGGTTTCTCTTCCAAACTCTAAGAGCTTGTGGTGTCAGCCCTCTGAAATAGGAAATTATACTATGTAAGGGTGACAAGACTTTCGGACCACTCTAGAGATTAAAATAGTCTTAGATAGGTAGAGAGATAGAAAGATGATGGTGTGAAAGTCTTGTTACCTCCTACCTAAAAAAAAAAAAAAAAAAAAGAAGAAAGAGATGAAACTAATAGAAAAACTAGTAATACAGTAATCCAAATCACATGTACTGGATTCAGTTTATTCATTTTCATTGACGCTGTCACACATCGAGAAGGTCTGCATGAACACCATCATTTTTTGTGTCAGCTATCTGAAATAGAAAATTATATTATGTCGTGGGTGAGAAGATTTTCGGACTACCCTCTGTGTGTGTGTGTGTGTGTGTGTGTGTGTGTATGTATATGTATGTATATATTATTATAATAAAAAGAAAGAACAGTAAGATATATAATCCAGTGTTCTTATTGATATTTTTATTTTTACAAAACAGTGCTCAATGTAAATTTACAAAGCATAAATATTATAAATTAACTGATTTAAAATATGGTTTCTTCACTACACATGAATTATCATGTTTCAAAAAACGAAGCTAAAAACTTCAAATTTAATTATATAATTAAATTAAAAGCATTAGTTCTGTTTCATCTTCAAGCGAATTTTGGAATAACTTATTTTTAAATTTACTGAGTTTTAAATGCACATACAATTCATAATTTTTTGTTTCCAAGGATACAGAGAAATCCAATCATTTAGACAGGGGTGGTAGTGTGTTCTTTTTTATTAACTATTATTGTATCAATTATGAGTTACGTTCTATTTTTTTATCAATGAGAAAAAGTTTTTCAGTATATATATATATATATATATATATATACACACACACACAAATCCCTGATTTAAAATCCTACAATAACCAACAGCTCTAGTAAAGATATAGATAAAACAAACATACACACAAGGCCGTGACAGACCCTGTTCAGGCTAGAAATTAGGATGTGATAAGCTAGAGTAATTAATTTGATTTATGATACCCAGATGTCCTTAGAGATCCCAAGACCTCTTCATCATATACACTTTTATCTTTTCATTTAAACTGAAGAAGCTAAAGAGAACATACACTTCTCCATCAAAACAATTCTGTAATAAAATTTTCCAATTCGTCTCATCACCTTCACTTTTGTTTTGGAGACTATTTTCCATCCCACAAACACAACAGATGTGCTCGTACACATGTTTGTGTATGTTACAGTGGTGGGAATCTTGGGATTGAACCCAAGATGCAAGGACCAGTAACATTGTAGATTCTTTGGATTTTATCAAGAATCTCTAAAGATATAGCAAAAGCACCAGACCAGATATGGCAGCAATATTCAAAGCAAGGATGAATGGTAGATTTATAAAGATGGAAGATAGATTCTTCTTTGGATTTTATCAAGAATCTCTAAAGATATAGCAAAAGCACCAGACCAGATATGGCAGCAATATTCAAAGCAAGGATGAATTGTAGACTTATAAATATGCAAGATAGATTCTTCTTTGGATTTTATCAAGAATCTCTAAATATATAGCAAAAGCACCAGACCAGATGTGGCAGCAATATTCAAAGTAAAGATGGATGGTAGACTTATAAATATGGAAGATAGATTCTTCTTTGGATTTTATCAAGAATCTCTAAATATATAGCAAAAGCACCAGACCAGATGTGGCAGCAATATTCAAAGCAAGGATGAATTGTAGACTTATAAATATGTAAGATAGATTCTTCTTTGGATTTTATCAAGAATCTCTAAATATATAGCAAAAGCACCAGACCAGATGTGGCAGCAATATTCAAAGCAAGGATGAATGGTAGACTTATAAATATGTAAGATAGATTCTTCTTTGGATTTTATCAAGAATCTCTAAATATATAGCAAAAGCACCAGACCAGATGTGGCAGCAATATTCCAAGCAAGGATGAATTGTAGACTTATAAATATGTAAGATAGATTCTTCTTTGGATTTTATCAAGAATCTCTAAATATATAGCAAAAGCACCAGACCAGATGTGGCAGCAATATTCAAAGCAAGGATGAATGGTAGCCTTATAAATATGGAAGATAGATTCTTCTTTGGATTTTATCAAGAATCTCTAAATATATAGCAAAAGCACCAGACCAGATGTGGCAGCAATATTCAAAGCAAGGATGAATGGTAGACTTATAAATGTGGAAGATAGATGCTGGCAAGAAAAATTACCAGGCATGACACAGTCCACCAGTTTTTGTAGTAGCAGACATAACAATGGATTCAATATAATCTTTCCATTTGATATCAGCAAAAACGTGAGCCCAAGAAAGCGCAATGAGTTAATCTCCTGGGGGATAACCCAGTCTATGCTACTATTTAATCCATAGCTGGTGGGGAGAACAGATGGATTCATGCCTTTTTCTAAGGTCATTAGTGTCAAAGTGATTGCAACAAATATTTGTATCATCTTGGATATTTCAGAGTCAATGGTAGTTTAAAAAAAAACTTTAAATATTGGTAGTAGTTTGGTTGGTGATTGCTAGTGTTCTACTTTTAGTATAATATACAGAAAACTTGTCTAGTTTATTGCCAATTTGTTGGATAGAAGATAGAGAACTTGGATAATTTGACACTCACAGGACAAGGGAAAGCTGTGGGTCATCAGCCTGATGATTTTTGTGGAAGGTGGGACACTTAAGGAAGAGATAAATATTGCTAAGTACTACAATTAAGAGGTTGTGGAGAGCCATGATCACTCATGTTCTGAAGGGATACAGCAAGGTGTAGAAAACGCTTTCTCCTACTACTTTTTTTCCCTTCAAGTATGGAAGGACACAGTGACCATTATTCTTTTCATTAATTACTGGTTTCAATTAGATTTTTTTGATTTTTCAGTGTGATTTATTGTTTCTTTTATTTTACCAGATTTTATGTTGGACAATGATTACTATGTAATTTTTTTTCTCTCCTTTCACTTTGGCTATCTTAGTTTAAATATGAAAATGGCATGCAAATGTGGTGAAACGGGCCAATGGCAGGGTTGCGTAAATTGTGGCTGAAATCTATTAACCTACATACACTAGATTGCAGAACTAATCACTCTTTCTGATTTCAAAGCTGTCACTCTCTATGTAGATTTCAGATCCATATCTCTCTCTGTAGATTTCATTTTTCTCTCTCTCTCTCTCTGTAGATTTCATTTTTCTCTCTCTCTCTCTCTCTCTGTAGATTTCATTTTTCTCTCTCTCTCTCTCTCTAGATTTCATTTATCTCTCTCTCTCTCTCTGTAGATTTCATTTATCTCTCTCTCTCTCTCTGTAGATTTCATTTATCTCTCTCTCTCTCTGTAGATTTCATTTCTCTCTCTCTCTCTCTCTCTCTCTGTAGATTTCTCTCTCTCTCTCTAGATTTCTCTCTCTCTCTCTAGATTTCTCTCTCTCTCTAGATTTCTCTCTCTAGATTTCTCTCTCTCTCTCTCTCTCTGTAGATTTCTCTCTCTCTCTGTAGATTTCTCTCTCTCTCTCTCTCTCTGTAGATTTCTCTCTCTCTCTCTCTCTGTAGATTTCTCTTCATTCAGAAATCTACAGAGGGAGAGAAAGATTTCACTTCTCTCTCTCTCTGTAGATTTCTCTCTATCACTCTTTTTGCAGATTTTTATATATATATATATATATATATATATATATTTCAGCTGAAAATTTCAAACCCTTTCTCAAAATATGACCAAATGACTAAACATTTAATACTTTTTTAAACTTCCTTTTCAGTTCAGTTGAGATCTTTTCCAGCACTCCCTTCCTGTCCATCTTTCTCATACCCGCCTCCTCCCTGGGGCATACAACTGGCTTTTATCCCTACTTTCTTCTGCTCTCCCTTTTTCCACTCCCAAGGCTATCCCATTTCCTTAACCTTTCTTTTTTTTTTTTGTTTTTTTTTTTTTATTCATTTGTATAATCCCTTCACCCCTAACCTGAAAGGGCAGAGCTGGTTGTATCCCAGGTTGTACACAAAAGGGAACAGGAATATGTGTTCTGACTTAGATGACACATGTGTTTTGACAGCTTGTAAAATCTTTGATACCTACAAATATTAAATACATGTTTGTCAGCTTGTAAATTATTTGATACTCACATATATCAGATACCTGTTTCTCAATTTAAATTTATTTAGCAAAAATAAATAAAGCATAAGTAGTCTTCTACAGTTATTTTTGGTCAGTTCAAGATGGTATAATGGTTAGTAAGCTTATCTCACTAGACCATTTACAACTGAGTAGTGAGTTCGATCTTCACTGGGTGCCCCATACTGTCAGCCTTGTGCCACATCTGAGCTATGCTTGGAAAATCACTTCAGGTGCCCCTAGGCAGTGTAATGGTTAGCAAGCTTGTCTCGCTAGAACAAATACTACTGAGTAGTGAGTTTGATCCTCACTGGGTGCTCCCTACTTTCGGCCTTGTGTCACATTTAAGCTAGGCTTGAAAAATCACTGTCTAAGCTACAGTTAATAAATTGCTATAATTTTTAATCTCTACCGAAAACATTGACATTATTATGTAAAGGTTCAATTATCCAAGGCAGAAGTAAATATGTTAATAAATTTCATTTTTTTTAATCATTTAACTCCAAGCAAGGCAATAAAGCCACTGAGGCACAATAGGTTACTGTGTGTCAAAGAAAACGAAAAAAAAAAAGAAAAACATTATTAAGCAGAGAGGACAATAAATGAACAAGAATTAATAAGACAAAAGATAATTGCTTTTAAAGTTTTGAAAATCAAACCTGACTAAAAAAGAAGAGACAAGAAAAGAAACTGTTATCATAGCACTTACGACATCAAAGCAGTTTCATTCGTAAAATGAGGAGACCTAACTGCCAACCAAGTACTTCGCTTAAATTCATAAAGTTGAACTGCCAAAGAGGAAAACTCATCAGAACAATTATCATTAAGAGATTTATAAAAAAAAAAGTCACAGGGAAGCTATGTTACTGCAGTGAGAAAGTGATTGAAGCCGAGATGCCAGGTCAGATTCTTCTTTAAAATCATTGTCTAAATCAAGCATAAGTAGTTTTCCGTAGCAATTTCTAATGGTAACTCTAATAAAAACATTTATGGCATTATGTAAGGACTCAAAAATCTGAGTTAGTAGTGAATTTAATTTGATTAATGCAACTCTTCTTATCCCAATAAAAGAATGCTGCTTTGGATGACTCACTGTCTTAATTCTTCATGATTGTAGAATGTTCTTGTGCGTTGCGTGTTTTTGATACAGATTTTTTACTCCTTTCAATTTACACTCTCTAGCTTTTTTTTTTTTTTTTTTTAACGTTGGACTTGCAAGACTCATTTATGATTCTTGGAATTACTCCCTCCTCACAGATTTTTTTTAATATTTTGGATCTGAATGTCTGTATTACTATTTTCTGAACCTAGAAAGGGTTGATAAACCATAAAAAAGAATTATTCTTACACTCCAAAATATGTTTTGAGTTCAGATAACCCATAAAGTGTTGATAAACTGTTAAAAAAAACAACCCCAAAAAACCACTGATATCTCCCCAATAACCACAATATTAATCTCTTCATGTCCCTGGTCAAACATTGTCTTCCTGACTTTAAACTCTTACAACTTCGTCCAGTAACCTCTTAACCTTGAGGGGCTGCTGACCCTATTATTGAGTGAATAATAAAAAAATAATTAAAGTTTGATATATTTTTAAAAGTTATTTTTACTTTGTTTCGGACCATGTACCTTTTGATCTTCCTCAAGTGTCTGTTATATTGTGAAATGTTACCTGTCTGCCTTCCCCTCTACCACTCATATAGACATCACATCTGGTTTTTGTGTCTGTTCCTGAGACTGTTATCACCCACGGGTCTGCACACACTTCATGACAGGTTGATAAACCGTAAAACAAAACCATGTACACTGATTAAAAACATCAGTTAAACTAAAAACAAAAAGGAGCCAAATGAATCCATAAAATAAAAAAAGTGGCACTAAGGGAGGGTTCAAGTCTTTTTAAAATAAGTCTTTCTTTCGCAATCAGTTATGTGCCATGTGTGATACATGCTTAATGCAATCATGTATCTTTCGATTCAACTGGAATTCAAACTCAGTTCTCTGGTTCCTCAATCCAAGCCACTATCCATCACTCCTTTTTCCAGCAGTTGCCATTTTTTCTGCAGTAGATCAGTTGCCATCCAAGGCTATGGAATCTGGGTGGGGGGTGTCAGAAGAGGATTCATAGCGTATTAGTACATAAGTGAATGTAATGAATTCGACTGGAATTCAAACTCGGTTCTCTGATTCCTCAATCCAAGCCGCTATCCATTACTCCACCATGCTTTCACAATAAAGAAACAATATTACCAACTGCCATCAATCACAGGTTTGGGCTTGCTTCATAGTCATTGTTATTTTATTGCTTTTAAGTATTCGTTTTCTTAAAACTTGATGGTGCAAATTCTTTCTCCGTTTTTAAGGACATTACCCCAACCCCAATGTCTTTCCATCAGGTCCATTTGTCAGCCAAGTTTCTAATAATAATAAAATCTTCCTGAAAAACTTGTCTCCTGATGACATATTATTAACCCTTTCCCTGATTGCTAATCTCTTAATATTTTGATATTTGTTATTCTAGTCGTTAAGTTAATTATACGATAATATCAACAGTTTAGTTAGTATTTACCTTCTTTGTATTCAAGCTATTGTCTCCATCTTTGCTTGTCAGTTCCAGAATAATCTTCAGAGATTTTATAATTGAACACTTTATTTAATTTATGTGGATAGATAGTTCCCATCACACTGTCCATGTCTTGGGATATCTCATCTTGGTCATATTTCAGTTCGGGTTGTCCCAGGTTGTTTTGATGCTACACTCTCCACCAATGTTTCTTAGTGGGTACCCTAATGCACCCTGAAAGGTAGCCAGGTTTCGTCCCAAGTTATTAGAAGAATAATTTATGAATTATTTTTATCTTTAAAAAAAAATCTTTATTTTTAAAAAACCTGATATTTTAAACTGGATGCTAAATTTATTAATCTTTAAGGAATGGATAATCCTTTATCCTTTGCCTTCCTTAAATGACTTAAGTCAATCTTTATTGGGCTCTCTAAAAAAAAAATACAAAAAAAAAAAAAAGATTCTTCATAAATCTTCTATCAGAGGGCTTGGTGAATTTAATACTCACAGGGTATACTTATGGCTGAAAGAACTGATAAAACACTACCTACCTGAGAAACTTGTATAAAAACCATACTAAATGTTACAAAGGATAGGAAGTTGTGAAGAGCCATAATTGCCTATATCCTAAATGGTCATAGTACATAGAAGAAGAATACTTTGGGGAAGTTATCCTTCCAAAAGAAATTTGAATTATCTCGTTCCTTCATTGCTTTTGTTGTTCCGACAATATATTTGTCAGTTCCATTTTTCCAGCCTTCTTCCGGCTCAGTTATTGCTCGCCCTGTTTCCCCTGAGCCCAGTTACATACTGCCAAGCCCAAATTGAACTCACAATTACTAGGGAGATCTTGTTCTTATTCCGTCCTGGGTATGACGATAAACCGCATCCTTGGTACGATGGTAAACTATGTCCAACAACAAGTCCTCTGATCAGGAGGTTTTGAGGAGCATGGAATCACCTCTTTATTGTTGGTGTTCCCAGGTCCACCCAGACCTGGGGTGGTAGCTCCTGTTAGGGTCCGAGCTATGGACAAATAGTTACCCCCCCCCAAACTGGGGTTAAAACACTATAAAAGTGTAAAAATAGGTCTTAATACCAGTAATACTTTGTAAAAAAATTATTACCAGCAATACACTTTTGAAAAAAAAAAAAAAAAAAAATTACCAGCAACAAAAATCTTGCCGGCATTAAATAACCCATTGAGGTTGATATGCCATAAAACAATCTAAACCAAAGAATACATATTCTATTCATACGAATCTATCCTAAAACTGTTGTCGGCATTAAATAACCCATTGACGTTGATATGACTTAAAACGAAATAAACCAAACCAAACTAAACCAAAGAATATATATTTTATTCATACGAATCTATCCTAAAAATGTTGTCGGCATTAAATAACCCATTGAGGTTGATATACCGTAAAACAAAATAAACCAAACCAATCTAAAGCAAAGAATACATATTCTATTCATACGAATCTATCCTTAAAATGTAGTCGGCATTAAATAACCAATTGAGGTTGATATGTTGTAAAACAAACCAAACCAAACCATGTTCTTATTTTTAGTGCTGCTCAGTTATTGCTCACCCTGTTTGCACACTACCCAACCCGGGAATTGAACTCACAATTACTGTATCAAATTCATGAACCAACACTTTAATCTATTTGATTATTGCTCCATGGGACAATCCTGGGTGGAGAACTTGGAGCCTTAAACCTAATCTGACTCCTGATGAATGCTGTTTGTCAAGCTTGACTGCATTTGACATGTCTTCTTTTTTCTAATGTGGCTGCTGTGTTTTCTTTCTTTTTCTTTCTTTTTTTAATTAACTGATTTTTTTTTTTTTTTATAATTTTATTTTTCTGTGTACTGTTTAGTACCATTCAAATATCTAAATCTTGACTGTGTATAATTTGAAAACCAGTCATCTTTTAAAAATTCTACCTCTGATTGTTTTTTTTTTTTTTGTTTTGTTTTTTGTTTTTTCCTCCCAACTCTATTCAACATGGGGGTTGACAGGGAAAGAAAATGTTTTTCTCTCCAGACTTTTACATTTATTTTTTTTTAAGCAGCTTTCACCCCCCCCCCTCCCACTCCCCCCACTTAAAAAAAAATGTTGACAGTCTTTCCAAAATCATTTGATGCCATCTCTTCCTGCCTGAATTCAATGTCTGGAATAAAAAGCCTCTTTGAATTCAAGCTCAGCTTTCAATTC